TATAATATAATATAATATAATATAATATAATATAATATAATATAATAATATAACCTAATATATATATAGCAACGTCCTATTTAATCATTTTTTTAAAAGAGTTTTTATTTTTTTAAAACAAACATACGCATACAAAACATAAAAACATAAAAACCCCTTCCATTTTATATACATACAGTGTGTCAGTTGGTTAAGAATCGTTTGTGCTATCCTTTTGTAGTTGTTACTCACAGTTTATATCAATTTTCACATTGTCAAACTAACATATGCTTACATATTTATCAGTTATTAATCATCCATGACTAAACTATTTATTCCATCATTTTATATGAGATATTCCAAATTTTATCTTAAAATTTATGTTTCAACCAATGGTTATATATGTCTATATATTATGTTTTATATCAGTCTATTAAATTTCTATCACAGAATTATCTAGTCTATTACATTACCATGTCTTTTTATCCAACCATTGATAAAACAAATCCCATATCATATAAAATTGTGTATCTTCTTGTTCTCTAATTTCAAATGTCAATTTACTCATTTCAGCTCAGTCCATAATTTTCTTAATAAACTCCTCCTGCATAGGTATTTTATTGTTTTTCCAATTCTTAGCAAATACAATTCTAGCCACCGTTAAAACATTTACAATCAAATATTTCAACTCTTTGTTATATATTTCCAATATAATTCCCAATAAAAAGATCTCTGGTTTAAAGTCTATATGTTGTTTTATCATTTTTTCCAACTATGTGTGGATTTTAGTCCAATGTTTTTTTGCGTCCGAGCATGTCCACCACATATGGTAATATGAACCAGATATCTGATGTCATTTCCAACATTTATCCAATTTATTCTTAAACATTCTCGCAAATCTTGTCGGAGGTAGATGCCACCTGTAAAACATTTTATACAAATTTTCTTTATATGCGGTTGACATTGTCATTTTATAATTTTGAGGCCACAATTTTTGCCATTTTTCTAAATCAATCCCATATCCAAAATTTCCCCCCCAAGCAATCATCGTTTCTTTAACTTGTTCCTCCTCCAATTTAAATTCTAATAAATGTCCATAAAGTTTTTTAATTACCTTTTCATCAGTACCCATCAAGATTTTATCTAAATCAGTCAACTTATCATAAGCACCTTCTGTTTTAACGTCTTTGTCAAATCTAGATTGTATTTGCAAATATGAAAAACAGTTCATTTTTACACCTTGTTCTTCCAACACTTGCATAGATTTAAGTTCAACCTTTTCATTCAATATCTCACAATATCTAACTGTTTGTCCCTTTTTATATATTATTGGATAAGAAAAGGCTTCAATGGTAGATATCCATTAATGGAATTTTTAAATAGTATTGTCTTTTTATCTTCTCCCAATTCAAAAACAATGCCTCTAGGATGTAATGTCTTCTAAAATACTTCTGTGTTTTAGTTCCCTTGAACCAAAGGAAGGCATGCCATCCCAACAGCAAGTCATGCCCTTCTAAGGTCAATAGTCTACTGTTCCTTAATGTTATCCATTCCTTTACCCACATCAGATTTGTCGCCTGGTAATACAACTCCCAATTGGGCAAGGCAAACCCTCCTCTTGTTCTTGCATTTTGTAACAATTTTAGTTTTATTCTTGCTTTTTTGCCCTGCCAGATATATTTCAACACAATTCTATTTAGGACTTCAAAAAACTCTTTCCCTTGTCGGATTGGGATTGTCTGGAATAGATATAAAATTATAGGCAATACATTCATCTTAATTGTAGATCAATGATAATTGTAGATTTCCTCATTTTGCCAAATCTGTCGCAATCTGCTGTTTGAGTTTAAGATAATTATCCTCTTTCAGTGTGCTACATCTTGGTGTAATGTATATCCCTAAATACTTAACCTTGTTTGTGACTTGTTTTTCTAAAACTTCTTCCAACTCTTTATTTCATCTTGCTAACATATTCTTTGTTAATATCTTTGTTTTATCTTTATTTATTTTCAAACCTGCTACTTTTCCATATTCTTCTATTTTTTCTATTAGTTTAGGTGTTGTTTCCAATGGGTCTTCTAATATGAATACCAGGTCATCTGCAAAAACTTGCAATTTATACTGTTCCTTTTTGATTTTCATTCCTTTTATTTCTTTGTCTTTCTAATATTTCTATTCAACACTTCCAATGTTAACACAAACAGCAGGGGCGACAGTAGACAACCTTGCCTTGACCCTTTTCTTATATCTATAGATTCCGTTAGTTCTCCATTTACCATAACCTTTGCAGTTTGTTCATGGTATATCATTTCAATGGCTTGGATAATTTTTTTCCCAAAGCCCATTTGTGTCAATTGTAATCGCCAACTCACATTATCAAAACATGAAGGCCATTTGCTTTTCAGGATGTGCCTCATAGTATTCCAGAGTATCCAAAATAATTCTCACATTGTCTTTGATTTGTCTCTTTGGCAGGGATCCATTTTGATCAATATGGATAAAATTATTTAAATATCTTTTTAGTCTTTCTGCCAAAATTGAAGCAAAAATTTTATAGTCTGAGTTTAATAGGGATATAGATCTGTAATTTTTAACTTGCTGCAGGTCTGTATCCTCCTTTGGTTTAAGTGTAATATATGCTTCTGTTCATGTTTTGGGTATTCTTTTCTTTAGCATAACTTCGTTCATAACTTCTAATAGGTGATGATTCAATATTTCCTGGAAAGTCTTGTAAAATTCCACTGGTAAGCCATCTGGACCTGGTGCTTTCCCAACATTCTGTTTTTTAAGGCTTCTGTTAATTCCACCATTGTTATATTTCCTTCTAGCTTTGTTTCAATATCTTTAGGTATCTGAAGTAAATTCGCTTTCTGTAAATATTGCTTAACTTTTTCTTCTTGAATATTCTCTTGAAAGTACAATATTCCATAATAATATTGTACAATTTTTTTTCTTTTCCTCATTTCCATAGCATACATGTCCTTCTTCATTAATTCTTCTTGATTCTCTATCCTTTCTCAGTTTATAAGCTAGCCATCTGCCTGGTTTATTTGCATCTTCAAAGTACTTCTGTTTAGCATTTTTAATTTTTTGTGCTAGTTCCTATTTTTACATTAGTTCCATTTTATGTTTAATTATATTCATTTTATTTTTAATGTCTTTTTTGTGGGGACTTCTGTAGATCTTTTTCCAATCTTTATAATCATCCTCCAATGTTTTGAAAGTCTTTTTCTGTTTCATATTTCTTTTCCTTGTATAGTCTATTATCAAGCCTCTTGTGTAGGCCTTCATTGTGTCCCAGAGATTCTGTAAAGATGTATCCTCTTTTCTATTTTCTTTAAAAAAAGAAAGCAAGTTCTTTCTCTATTTTCTGTTTAAAGTCTTTTTTTTTTTAATATCGTATTATTTAAGGTCCATCTAGATCTTCTCTTATATCCATTCCAAATAACTGTCACTGGATTATGGTCTGCCCAGGTGCTTGTTTATATTTCAATCTCTCATATGTTGGCCGGTTATTCTGCTGACATCCATATCATATCTATTCTAGACCATGATGCGTGTCTGTTTGAGTAAAAAGTGTATTGCTTATTTCCCACATTTATCTCTCTCCATGCATCTTTTAAGTTAAATTCTTCAGTCGTTTGAAAGAAAGATTTTGGTAGTATCTTTCTAGCTTTCTTTGTTGATTTCTGCGTTTTATAGTCCAACTGATCATTAACCTTTCCATTAAGATCTCCCATCATACAAATATTAACATAGTCCAATTCAATTATTTTCATATGTAATTTCCTGTAAAATTCTTCTTGTTTATCATTCGGAGCATAGATTGCAATTAAAAATGTTTTAACATTATTGTCCATTATTTCCACCATCAAAATCCTTCCATCGTCATGTGAGTAAATTAATTCTGCCAAAATTGTAT